CCCTAAAAGCATAACCCTAAAGTCATACCACATATTTTTGTGGGTCAAAATGTTATCTAAATTCAATTGTGTTGTTGCCATTATATTGGAGATGCCATTGAGTCTGGCTTTGGCAGCAAATTTTGCTTCGCGCCTATTAGATGATCTTGTCATACTTCATCTTAAAGCAAACGTGTCGAAACGGCTACACTTTTTACGATATGTCTACTATCAGTTGGCCTGATTGGCTCGATGAACATGCTGGGAAGGTCATGTAGAAACGGCTGAAAAGTTAAGAGAATGCACTGGCCGACAGTGAGAGTGAGTAGCATCACTTTGGTGCTATGCTTATTGGCAATGGCGAGGAGACCGCCCAAACACTTGACAGTTGTTGAATTTCTCAACTTTTTTGTTTCGAGCTTCTACTCCGATTCCTGACTCAGCCTCGCCAGGTTGTCGAGAAAGAGTATAAGGATTTACACAAGCATCGCTGGAAGACTGGAAGCTCTTATGGCAACAATATCGGAGGCTGCAATGAGGAATGCGTTCGAAGTTATCCTGAAAAACAAGGACTAAATTACGAGAACTAGGCCAAGCTAAATGAGATTGCTGGAGCACCAAATGTACCAGAATCTGGCCTAAATATCTGCGCTTGAAGTTTTTGCTTAGCAGCATAAAGAAAATTGTATGAAATTGAATTTGATGGAGAGCACATGACCGTGCTTATAATTGTTATGCTCCTTTCGGCTTAGAGAAAAATGTGTTTGTAGGTCGATCCTACCACAAGGCGACGTCGGATTCCTCTTGACCGGTTGTCGATTTGCTTTAATGGAAAATTCTTGTTGACTCTGCTTACGCGGCAATCTCCTTCGATTCCGACGCGAAATTGCTAAGATTTCGTCCGTTGTGTGGCGGATGTCACCAGAACAGGGTTTCATTCTTACAACCATTTTCAAGCTAACGGGCCGCATTAATATTTCAGCAAATTATTTGAACAACTTGCTCGAACGTAGTTGTATGAATTGTACCCTGCTCTGTAGCTGTTTGTCATACAGCAGACGAAGGCCTAGCATCTTTTCACCGGTTTTGCCGGAGTTTATCTTAAAAAAACGACAACAGGAAAGTTCCAGCTGGTCAAAAGGAATCCATCATCGTCTTCTGTTGAGATTGTCCTTCAAATATCTTCACATGATACTTTCACTCGAAATAGAAGAGAGCTCAGCACTTATGAATCGGGAGATTCCTTGAAACCCATTTTTACTTCGCACTAGCCCTCAACCATATTCTAGCTATAGAGTCAAGAAAACTCACCGGTTTATCCCTTACTGCTGTAAATATATACGCACACACACACATATATATGTGTATGTTAAGAAAAATGGTAAAAGCAAATCTAGTGTCGCCTTGTGGTAGGATCGACCCACGAATCTCTTCACCTGATACTTTTTTTATATAAATCGAAATGAGCTCAACAATTAGAAACATACAAGTCAAATCCAAGACATGAGAAAGTCTATTTGGGATTTTGATGAGTTATAAAGTGATTCATATGCCACTCTAGACGCATGTGCATGCGTCTATTTTTGTGTGATTATACACCTTCATTTCGGTTGAGGACAGGTGCTACCTTCTTTTATAATTATGTACGCTAATACTATTGCTTTTGTGCATATACGTGTACACGAAAACACACAAACACACAAAAACATATCCAGACCCATACATCTGGATGGACGAATGACTTGAACTAGCCAAATCATTTTATGCCTCAGCTAATTTAAGGCATATATAAAAATTCAAGGATAAATCGCTTAGCCATCGGGCAGCTACCCAAGACGCGCCAGCCATCGTCTTCTGGTGAAATCGACCTTACAATCTTATTTTCGCACACTTTAATTCGAAATGTAAATGTTTCTGACAATGCAGAAATGACGTTAAATAAGAACTGGCAATGTCAACTTGACATAATTAAAGCTAGAGAGGATGACCCAAATATACCTTTTGCATGGTCCTAGGTACTGTCACATAATCCTACTTTTTAGTTCACGTACATGACATGTGCCCAGAGATGATAAAAAAGGGCCTACATTTTTCGGAATAATTGTTGCACTTTTCTGATTACATTGAATCGTCATTAATGGCTGCGCCTCCTTATGTACACACGAATGGACAACCACATGTTCATATAGATTTATGGCTAGAAATGTCAAATAAAATTAGCAAATTCACTATAGACCTCACACAATAATGTGGGAATATCCATACAGCCGTGGGGGATAAGCGAATGTGTTTTAATGACCTTTAGCTTGGAGTAGTCTTAAGAATGATATCCACTTCTGCCAAAGCACTTCATATGATGAATGAAAGCCTAGCACGTTTTTATCGGAGCAGAATACGCTGAGTCCTCAAAGTGCATTCTGTTGAATCTTAGCTTATCCATTTCCTTCTTCTTCTGAAAGCATCTGTACTTTGCCTTTTAGGTAATAAACTCCTGCCTAAATTCTATACTGCTCACGGAGATGACAGTCGTCGACTGTGTTCCAAAGCCCGACAATTTTAAAGCTTGTATCTGTCAGTATCAGCTTTCATCCGAAGCCAAAACCCTTTCTCACAGTCACGATTCTCGAATCAGGCAGGAATATTTTGCATCTGAAAAATCCTCATACACTTCGGCCAACCGGACCATCGAGCCAAATGGAAAGGGGAGGATGGACCAAGATCAGACGAGGAACGATTATGCTACAAGTGTTACAGCTGTCTGTAAGGAGACAGAAACCCATGATATCGGCCCAAAGATGTTTTCTGCTTTGCAGCTTCTTCTTCAGCCGTTGTGTAAGGGCTTCCGCTTGCTGGACAACCTAAGAAACGAAAACTTCCAGAGGGATGCTCAGGTGGAAATTCAAGGTTTAAATATGATCCCGAAAATGCCACAAGGAATAAAAATGACAGCGACTCTGTTTTGTCCATCAAATGTGCATAGAGAAAGGAAAAGTAAACTCATCAAATTGTGCACGCCGGCAGAAATATGGTTTCACTCACGTTATCTCGTCATAAAATTGATTATACTCCTAAAAGAGCTGTTGGGTAAGCCCCATCTCATGCTTTTTTGTGCAATTTTTGCCCACTC